TTTTATAGGTTTCCTTGTAGAAATCTTTCACCTCGTTTTTAAGCATCTTCCTGGATACTTCTTCTTCTTCTTCTTTTTTTTTTTGTTTGCAGCTATTGTGACTGGTACTGAGTTCTCAATTTGATTTTCAGCTTGGCTGTTATTAACACATAGAAATGCTACTGATTTATGTATATTCATTTTATAACCTGCAACTTTACTGAATTTAGCCCTGAGAGAAGCAATATTAAAGCAATTGCAGTATATCCATTGCTTGATGCTAATGGATTGACCCCCATCCACTTGTTCCACAAGCCATAATTACAGATTTGACTGGACAAGAAACTGATTTCAGTAACTTTTCCTGATAAGAAGGCCGCTGATCACAGCTTTCAAGCCTCTTGCTGTCAGAGATTCAGGGAGGAGAAGCAAACCATTCCACTACTCTTCTCACTTGGCTGCAAGTCTCTCTAGGGTTGTCTTCTGCTAATATCGTGCTCCTTCTTGTTCTGCTCTGTAACTTCTTTCCATGGAATCTCTTGTAGGTTCTGGCACTTTACTCTCAGATTTCTACCCATTCTATGATTGTCTGTTAGTTTTTCCTTTTCAGCTAAAACTTTTTCTTCTTTATGAGATAGAATGGCAGCTGATGTCTCTGGTCAGCTGAACACTATTCAGCCATGAAGAAGGATGACTTAATGCCTTTTGCAACAATTTGGATGGAACTGGATACTGGTATCCAAAGTGAAGTATCTAAAGCTTCAGTCCTCAACCCTCAGGCTGTGGACTGGTAGAAATGGCCACATTTCCATGGCCTATTAGAAACCAGGCTGCACACCAGGATGTGAGCAGCAGGTGAACAAGCAAAGCTTCATCTGTATTTGCAGCCACTCCTCATTGCTTGCATCACTGCCTGAGCTTCACCTCCTGTCACATTAACAGGGGCATTAGATTTTCATAGGATTGTGAATGCTACTATAAACTATATAGTAAACCCTACTATAAATGATGTGAGGAATCTATATTGCATGCCTGTTATGAGAATCTAATGCCTTCCTCTAATCCTGGCTTGTGGAAAAATTGTCTACCCTGAAACCTGTTCCTGGTGCCAAAAAGATTTGGAATAGCTCATCTAAGGAATGGAAAATTGAAAAAAAAAATGAGTAAGATGTTAAAAAAAAAAAAAGAATGGAAAATTGAACACTGCATGAACTCTCTACTAAATTAGAAGTAACTGAAGAGTACACATGTGGTTAAAGGGAAGTAAATCTTCACAGAAATCAAACAGGCGGGTGGGAGCAGGAAAAGATTGGGCAAAAACCTGCCTACCAGGTAATAATGAACACTATCTTGGTGATGGGCATGCTTACAACTATGACTCAAGCATCATAAAAGTGAACGATATAACTAAAAATATTCATACCCCTGAAATACTTTGAAATAATATAAAAAAGAAGACATAGAAGCAATGCCAGAAAACAAACTGACATTAGACAATCTGGTAGAAGAGTTCTAAGAGATTAAGACTTCTTTTGACTTCTTTTATGATATGATCTGGCCCCTTCTATAGTATGGGCATTGAGTCTAAAGCCAACAGTGAGAGAAGGATTGGTACCACATAGAGACATTTTTAGAAAAATGAAGAAGAAAAACAGGCACAAATTACAATGCTCTTTATAAATTTACATTAAGTGTGCCTGTCTTTCCTGTTGCCTTTTCTATGTTCTCCCACCTTCTGCCTCTGCCACCCCTGAGGCAGCATGACCAACCCCTCCTCTTCCCCTTCCTCCTCATCCCACTCAGCATGAAGGTGATGAGGATGAAGAATATAATGAATTCACATTCACTTAATTAATAATAAATATATTTTCTCTTCTTTGGACTTTCATTTTTTTCCTGCTTTTCCCCTCTTGTTTTAAATTCCAGGATTTAAACAACCAAATCACAGTATTTGAATTCATGAGGTAGAGTCAGTCCCTCTTGTAGCTATGTTCTGCACCCAAAAAGGTGTGCCATCTACCCCTACATCGTGTCCATTCAATGCAAACACCCCAACCACCCTCTTCCCCTTGCTCATTTCTCCTTCCCTCAACTTGAATTGAATTGAGTTTTCTCTTATATGGGTGTGAGTTAGATCCTCTACTGGCTTCATATTAGTATTGAGTACATAGGATATTTACTTTTCCATTCTTGTGATACTTTATGAAGAAGAATGTGTTTCAATTCCATCCAGGTTAATCAAAAGATGTGAAGTCACCATCTTTTTTGTGGCTGAAAAGTGACATTCACTATTAGTAATATGCATATATTACAGTTTGTTAATCCATTCCTGAATTGATGGGCATTTAGGTTGTTTCCATATCTTGGCAATTGTAAATTGAGCTGCAATAAACAATCTAGTGCAAATGATAAAATGATTTATCTAAATGATATGAAGATAAATATTTTCATATATTACTAAAATGATCTAGTCCTTATGATAAAATGATTCTTTTTCTTCTGAGTAGATGTCTAGTAGTGGGATTGCAGAGCCAAATGGGAGGTCTAATTTGAGTTCTTTGAGGATTGTCCATACTAATATCCAAAGAGGCTGTATTAGTTTGCAATCCCACCAATGATGTAAAAGTGTTCCTTTCTCTCCACATCTGCGTGAGTATCTGAAACTTTGGGATTTTGTGATGTGGGCTAATGTCACTGGGGTTAGGTGATATCTCTGGGTGGTTTTGACTTGCATTTCTCTGATGATATAGGGACAATGAGCACTTTTTCATATGTTTGTTAGCCATTCATCTGTCTTCCTCAGAGAAGGTTATGTTTATTTATGTCTTTTGTGTAGTGATAGATGGGGTTGTGACCTCTTTTTTTGTTGATTAATTTGAATTCTGTATAGATCCTAGTTATCAAACCTTTGTCAGATTTATAATATGCAAATATGTTTTCCATTTCTGAAGGTTATCTATTTACTGATTGTTGTGTCTTTAGTTGTGCAGAAGCTTTTCAGTTTAATTAAGTCCTATTTATTATTTTTGTTGTTGTTACAATTGCCATGGAAGTCTTCTTTATAAAATCTTTCTGCAGTCTGACATCTTTGAGTTTTTCCCACATTTTCTTCTAGGATTTTAATTGTTTCCTGCCTTAGATTTAAATCTTTTATCCATCTTGAATTAATTTTTATAATGAAAGGTGTGGGTCAGGTTTCAGGCTTTACATGTAGTTATCCAGTTCTCCTAGCACCATTTATTGAATAGGGATTGTTTTTCCCAGTGTATGTTTTTATTGGGTTTATCAAAGATCAGATGGCTGTAAGAGACTGGTTTCATCTCTTGGTTTTGTATTTGGTTCCAAATATCTATGTCTCTATTTTTGTGCCAATACCATGTTGTTTTGATCACAGTGCACTTGTAATAAATTATAGTTACTTTGAAATATGCATAATATTTCAATATTTGATATTCTAATCTCAAACATTAGAACTTTTTTCTTCTATCTTACTATATATTTGTAAATATAACCACCCTCTCTTCATCCACCCCTCCCTCACCACTTTTCCCAGTTTCTGGTATTTATTAATCTATTCTCTATGTCCATGAGCTCAATATTTTTAGCTCCCTCACATGAGTGAGAAAATGCAGTGCCTAGCTTATTTCATGTCACATAGTGACCTTCAGTTCTATCCATATTGCCTCCAATGACATGATTTTATTATTTTTGTGGTTGAATAGTAATCCATTGTGTGTATATATATCACATGTTCTTTATCCACTCATCTGTTGATAAACACCAAGACTGATTCCATATCTTTACTATTGTGAGTAGTACTGTGACAACCATAAGAGCAAAGGTATCACCTTGTGGTATTAAATATGTTTTCCTTTGGAAAAATAAGTAGGGGGATTACAGGTTGTTCTATTTTTATTTTTTTCAGAAATCTCCATACTGTTTTCCATTGTGTTGTACTAATTTATATTCCCACAGTATATAAGAGTTCCCTTTTCTGTGCATCCTCACTAGCATCTGTTATTTTTTATCTTTCTAATAATAGTTACTCTAATTGAATATTTTTGAAATATTAGAAGCTTATATCCACATTATGACCATGACTTTGTATGAACAATTGTAAATATGATTACAATATAAAGTGTTTGTGCAACTAGATGATATTTAATAAACATAGACAGTAGTTATTTTTGTACTCTGAAAACAGGAAGCTTTATTTTCATAATTATAGAACACGAAAAAAATAAGAGAAACTGTTTTTAACATTTACTAGAAACAATTTCAATAATTTTTGTCCAAGTTATCTGCATTAGTATTACCTGATTATTTAATTCTCTCTTTTTTCTCTGGGCCCATACAGATTTTCACACATTGCCTAGGTTTTATCTTCAGTAGTCAGGGTATACTAAGCAATCAAATGAACCGTAGAATTTCCTTCCAAATTATGAACTTTTTTTTTTTTTTTTAGAGACAAAGTCTCACTTTATTGCCTTAGGTAGAGTGCTATGGTGTCACAGCTCACAGCAACCTGCAACTTCTGGGCTTAGATGATTCTTTTGCCTCAGCTTAATGAGTAGCTGGGACTACAGGTGCCCACCACAATGACTGGCTATTTTATTTTTTATTTTTTATTTTGTTTCAGTTTGGCTGGGCCAGGTTCGAACCTGCCACCCTGGATACATGGGGCCGATGCCCTAACCACTGAGCAACAGGCGCCACCCAGCAATGCAATTTTTATTTATTTACACTTCCTTTATATTACATCAGAGATTTTTGAGAATCTAGTCTCTGGAGTATACAATAACTGAATAAACCATTCTGAATAAAATGAAATTTGAAGAAGAAGAAATAAATTATTCGATTTTGCCTTTGTACTGTAAGAAAAAAAGTGTTGCTGATGAAAGATTAGCTTGATGAATCTACAGAATAAAAAACCCCATAAATTTGTCAAGTTCATGAATGTTGCTTCTACATTATTCAGATTTAAATTTAATTTAACTTAGCCTCAAAAAATCAATAATTTCTTATTTTGTGAGAAATGCAATTCGTTTTACTGCATCTTTGAAGGCGTCTTTCACTTGCTTGTTTCGAAGGGTGTAAATGAATGGGTTAAGCAGTGGGGCAACTGAAGTAGCCAGTAGAGACACCACCTTATTGATGGCCACTCCTTCCTTTGCTGAAGGTTTGACGTAGATGGAGATGCAGCTGCCATAGGTGATGGAAACCACAATCATATGAGAAGAGCAGGTAGAGAAGGCCTTTTTCCTTTGTTGGGCAGAAGGGAATTTTAAAATGGTCTTGATGATGTATGTATAGGAGAGTACAACACATACTAGGGTAATAATGAGTGTCACTATGGAAAAACTCAAGATAATTCTGTCTATAAATTCTGTGTCTGAGCAAGTTATCTCTATAATGGGAGATGTATCACAGCCAAAATGATCAATCTCATTCGAGTCACAGAATTCCAGCTGGAGACCCACACTGAGAGGTGGGAGGATGATTAACAGGCCAGCAAGCCAACAGCAGAGAATGAGTATGGTGCAGACTCTGTTGTTCATGATGGTTGTGTAATGCAGGGGCTTACAAATGGCCACATAGCGGTCATAGGACATGGCAGCAAGAAGAAAAAATTCTGTTGCTGCAAAGAGGACAACGAAAAATATTTGGGTGGCACAAGCATTATAGGTAACAGTTTTATCTCCAGTTGTCATAGTGTATAGGAATCTAGGAATACAGACAGTGGTGAATGAGACTTCTAAGAAAGAGAAATTTCGGAGAAAAAAATACATGGGAGTTTTAAGACGGGAATCCCAAAGCGTGAGGGTGATAATGGTGAGGTTCCCAGCCACACTTAACATGTAGGTGAGAAACAAAAATATGAAAAGCACCACTTGTAGTTTTGGGTCATCTGTCAATCCCAGCAGGATGAATGTTGTTATTGTTGTACGATTTCTCATCACTGCCTGTGCCAAGCCAAGAGCAATTGTTCCTGAAGAGAGAAGTGTGATGAGAAGCTGGCATCAGAACCTGAATGAAAACATCCTAGCCGGTCAGCCCACCCGCACTTTCATACCCACGGTGCATCTCACAAGGGTACATGTGAAATTTACTAGGTATAGAATATAAATGTCTTAACACAATAACTAAGAAAATGCCGTGAAGGCTGTGTTGACCAGTTAGATGAAAGCATTTCAGATTGTGTGTAAAACTACCACATTGTACCCCATAATTATATTAATGTACACAGCAATGATTCAATAAGGAAAAAGAACAGAAAAAAACTTCTTTTACTTGATAATCAATTTAGTAACAGAGCTGTACCCTTGGCACACATTAGGAGGCTTCTATAGGATATATCTTATGCAGATCTTATTTTTATAATTCTCTGATTGGAAAGCATATTTATGAAGGTCTCAAATAAAAACAAAACAGAACATAAGTCATAAGTCTAGTCTATAGTTTCTTCACAATATTGCCTTAGGTGCAGATATTATTCTTCTGGAAGAAATCATGACAGTTTTGAATTGTTTTTCTCCCAGTATTATCTTTCTTTCTTTTTCCCTGTCATACTGAAATGCTCCATTTTCCATCCTAGAAAGACCTGTTAATTAGTATTTTACGCTGATCATTTCATGTTGTTAAAATGAATTTTAACAGCCGCACATTCATTTAAATGTTTCAGTTCTGCTCTTCGCACTTCAAATGATCTCTAAATAAGGAGATGAAAAGTTTAAAATATAAAAGTGCATCATTGTTTTGTTGTTCCTAAATTTAGGTGAATGAAAGTACAGTAGAAGAACCTCCGTAACTGACCACGTCCTTACATTGAGCTCCTCCTTAAGTTGACCCAGTTTTCATAGACTGGACATGCACTGCCCAGACATAACAGTACACTAGGCCCATCTAGTTCCTTATGTCCACCACCTCTGTATGTTGACCAAATTGTTACAGTCCCTTAGGTGGCCAACTTATTGAATTTCTACTGTGTTTCCAAGTCAGTTTTAGAACTGCTTAGGAGAGGGGTCCCAAACCCTTTCAAGTGGTATAAAGAAAAATTTTCTAGAGTGTGAACATAAACCTGACTTAGTCATTTTGATGTTCTGGGTCATGGAAAGAGCCCAGGGTAGAATCTGTGATATTTTCTTTCTTTGCCAGCCTGACTCAGTCCGTGTTCTTTGCACTCAATCTTGAGTGTCTGCCAGGCATGTCTTCATGACCTCTTTGAACAATTTCTGTTGCTTCCTTCTCATATCATGTCTCCCCAACAATTTACCAGTTATCTGACCCTCCTGCTCATTTCTCTGAGTTTTTGATTTATCTGCTCATACAAGTAATATCCAGCAATAAGCAGATGTATACCAACTAGTCTTTGTAAACCAATTATAAAATACCCTACCTTTTTCTTTGACTCTTATCCCTGTCTATTTCCGCACCTACCTGCAGTTTCAAGCCTTCCTGTGTTCAAATTTATCTTTGTTCAAGAATTCTATTATCTGTGGCTCAGGGAATTCATTCCCTTTTTCTTCTTGTATAAACTTACCCTCATTGACTTTATACCTTTTGTATTAACCTGATGGAGTTGGAGAACATTCTTTTTAGTAAAGTACACAATGGAAAAGCAAGTATCTGATGTATTCAATACTAATATGAAGCCAGTAGATGATATAATACATGCCCATGGAAGAAAAATCTCAATTTAATTCAAGTTGGGGGGAGGGGGCAGATAGGAGGTGGCAGGGGGATTGGTGTGCTCTCACCTAATGGGCACACCTACTGGGTGTAGGACACAACTACAACAGGGACCTTACGTAGTAAATATAAACAGTGTAACCTAATTGTTTGTACCTCCTTATTAATCCAAAATTAAAAAAATTACTTACCTCATTGAGATTCATATTTCAAGTATCTGCTCTTAGATATCCATCTTGTAAAGGAAAACAAGATAAATGCAGGGATGCCAGTAGTTCATGATAACTTGCATGGATCTGTAATATGTGTTTTTGTTTTAATAGTAGGGATTAATTATTGAATGAGCAATTTTAGGAATAACTAAATGTTTATTTGAACACCTTAAAAAGTTATACATGAGAGGAAAAACTAATTTGATACGAGTTAAACAATCGCCATAATTGTACCCAACATGTATATTCCCAATTAAGAATCAAAAGAACATTATTTTTCTATTCTTTCTTACTGCTCAAGTAAATAATCAATAATTGTTCATCCAAATAAATATTCCATGAACACTTATTATTTACAGAGTATAATATAGGAGACCGGAGATCCAACTATAAACAAGTTTCTCCCCAAAGGGGCTTCTAGTAGCAGATGGTGTTTGATTTCAGTGTGTTCTTAGTGACACGGCAAGACAAGATAACAATGAAAGTGAAACTTTGGATTTGAGGAAATAACTCCTAATTCTTTGACAATTGTTCTTGGGTAAAGTAGTGGGTGTTGATATTTTCCTATGTTCACTCAGTTGCTTCAGGCTCTTCTCTCGCTACTAAAGTTGGCAGTGTCAGCTGTCACCAAAGGGTGATAGGGTCAGAGATATGCTTTTGGTACAGAGAAATCTGCACCCCCCCCCCTTTCTTCGTTCACAGGAAAAAGAGTTCCCTGGTGAGATGGTATCTTGCTGTGTACCTGCAAAGGGAAGGCTTTGATTGACTGGTGGAGGGATAGGCCGTGATCTTTTCAGCAATACTGATTTTCCTCCCTCTCTTTGTCTCTTCCTTTCCTCGTAGAGTACTTTAGATGTTTGTAACCTCCTCAACATTATCCTTCCAGTCCTCCCTCTCCCAGGACTCTCTTTGCTTTTAAGATTATTCTACACAACAATTAAATATGTGAGGTGAATGATATGTTAACCAGTTTTATGTAAATATTCCAAATTGCATATAAAATCAGCACATTGTGTCTTATAAATGCAGTAATGTACGCAGTTATGATTTAATAAACAATAAAATTATTCCTTCCTTCTTTTATCATATCTCTTATTCTTCTAAATTGTTAAGAATGAGTGGTGTGAACTCAACGATATTAGCATTTGAATGCTTATTGTTTTAGTGTTTAAAGTGCCTAAAAATGTATTACCCTTCAGGGATGTTGCATTTTAATTTATGAAGATTGTTAAATGAACATTAACAGCACAGTTAAGCTTGCAGTGTCGGATCCTTTCCATGTAAGATTACTTCCTTTAAGGTTTATCTACCAACAATCATTCCAATGCTCAATGTTATATTAGGAAAATTTTCCTCAAAAAAAAAAAGAAATTAAAAGGAAAGAAAATTTTCCTGAGAATCTGAGAGTTATTTGTTTTTTCAGTTCCAAGTGATTAAAATTTGAAATGATTTTATTAAATAAATAAACTTTGCCATTTTCTTCCCACAAATATTGTTTTCAATAAACCATTAACAGGTAGTCCTTTATAAACTATGAAAGACTGCCTAATTTGACTGTGACTTTGGTAGCTAAAAGACTCAGTTTTCCCTTCATAGATTCTGTATTTAGTGAATTTTAAAATATATTTGAGATATTTATGTTTGCAAGAAACCTCATTCAGTCATTGTTTGGGACTGAAGCTGCCTGTGAACCAGATAGTTGAGGTTCGAGAAGAGTCTGAATACTGTGCCTCCCCCCAAAGTGGCAAAATGGACTTAAATAACTTGTGAATAATAAGGGAGATTTCCTGCAGGGCATTTCTTTCTTTCTTTCCTTTTTTTTGAGACACACTCTCATTCTGTCACACCCTGGGCTGAGTGCCATGGCATCATAAGTCATGGCAACCTCAAATTCCTGGGTTCAAGTGATACACTATCCTCAGCCTCCTGAGTTTTTGGGTCTACAGGCACCTGCTACCATGCCCAGTTTTTCTATTTTCAATAGAGATGGGGTCTCGCTCTTGCTTAGACTGGTCTTGAACTCCTGAGCCCAAGCAATCCACCTACTTCAGCCTCCCAGAGTGCCAGGATTACAGATGTGAGCCACTGTGCCTGTCCTCCTGTAAGGGCATTTCTAAGACTGATGTTATTTGTCTTATATGACAATTTTTGATAATTTTGGGTGGAGGCATCTTTTCCACATCCTTTTATATTTTTGTCTATTAAATAGTAACAGCCTCCTCAAGGGATGATCATGGCCAGCCCTTTCTTTCAAAGGATAACTCTAATTTTATATTCCTTCAGAAAAACAATGCTTCAGAAATGATTGCTGGCCCCCTTTCTGTAGTATCAGTTGTAATGGACTGAATTCCAGATTTTATAATTCACTTCTGCCTACCTTTAAAGACTATGGAAAAACATGTCATAACAGTGAGATACTTACTTTTTGGACAGTTCATTAGAAGGTTCTTGAGGGAGTCAAAATTTGAGGAGTGTTAAGACAATGAGGAGGTTTTGTGTACGCCTGGTTCCTTTCCTGCATTCCACCTATCTCAACAGCCAACCTCACCCTCTATACAGAGGATTGTTCACTCACACCCCCACCCAGACATCCCCCTCCCACAGGCAAGTTTGACAATGGACAATTTTCTTTTAGGTTATAATTCTTACTGATGTAATGACACCAGTCTCAATCTCCTCTTTCCTTGCCAAATAAAATGGCATCTGGTACTAGATTTACCAGTTACTCTGTCTGTTCAGAGTAAGAAAAGAATGGTATAGAGAAAAACGAACATTTCTTTCTAGTTTTGTCAGGGGAATATATCTGATTGTTTGGACAGGGAAGCAGGCTTCCCTGCAATTTCTAGAATACCGACATTTCTTTTATATGTTTAGTCTGTTACCAGTGCATAGGGAACATTGGTGTGAACAACAAAATAGTCCTCAGTGACCCAGTTTCAAAGGTTACTAATGAATTGGTGGCAGTCTAATCAGCAGTGTAAAAACACATGTCACAATGGGAGCAATGTCCTCAGAGACATTAAGGGTGGTCTGATGTCATCTAAGTGCTGTTTTGA